GGAATTCTGGGAGTTGAAGTCCAGACGTCTTAAAGTTGCCAAGGTTGAGAAACACTGATCTGGATTGACCAAGGAGCTCAAACAGCTCTGCTGAAAGATATTGGTCACAATGAACAAGTCAGATCCATCCGATATAATGACCACTTGGTCCTCCCTTGAGGCTACAGGTAGTTGGAGCGATTAGTGCAACGGATTCCCACAGATTCCATGTTCCTCCCATCAGGAGGATGGTCTGGGTAGCGTTTCACAAAGCAGCAGGTTCAACCCATCCAGGGGACCTTCCTCCTAGTCGTAAACAGCAACTCCTCCACACGGCACGACTTTCTGTTTTCCTAAGTCTCTGTCCACCTCAACCGAAGCCGCTTTAGAAAACCAGATCTTATTTTATTCAACTTGCCCCAAAGGAGAGCAGAGTTGAGAATTGCAAACTTCGATGACGTCAGTGCAAAGGTATGCCGGGCTTTTCTCGCGTGCTTGAAAGACGTAGACGTTTGACGACGACTAGGTTTCACCGGCTGCAGGCTGCAGGCAGCCCATTCTGTTGCCTGCTTTTAGGGAGGCAGCAGAAACAGGTTTATTTGGGGGAAGAGTTTCAAAATCTGGTGGCCTTTAAAAAAAATCGCATTGGCTATTTTGTTAGGGGTAGCAGATCCGGGCAGCAAAGATCCAGATGAACGCTAGGCGGAAGCAAAGCATTGAAGAGTTGTCTATATTTATTTCCTGACATCTGGTGGTCGTTCAGATTTCTCAGCCCGGATAGGGGTATTTGCAGGGTAAGGTCAAAAAGGTCAGGATGGTGGCCATGAAATGTGTCACCCATAAAAACCAAGCAGAGCTTGGATCGCACCATCCCAGATACCATCTTCACTTTTCTGATGGTTTTATTTTCCTTTTTTCCAACAAAACTAACTTTTGGGGGTTGATGAGGAAACATAGATATTTGTGGCAAAGACATACATTTGTAGTTTGACTTAAAGAAGTTTGAAGCCCTTTGGAGAATCAGAGATAGACAGACAGACAGACAGATCCTCCATCATTTTTTTTGCAATTTCGTAGCATGGAGAAATAGCAGAATCAGAGAATTAAAAAAGGCTTTCAAAAGCATCCTACCCCAAATCTTGGATAGGGTTAGAGAAAATGGAGGGGGGGGGGCACCGTAATGTCAGCCAAAAGCATCAGAAAAGACACCAGGCTGGGGAATTCTGGGAGCTGAGGTCCACACTTCTTAAATCTGCTGAGGCTGAGAAACACTGGTGTACAGGAAGGTGGAGATAACCTTGATGAAGAATTGCAAGAGCCACTGAGGGACGAGAAATGAGAACTAATTCCTGGGCAAGTGGAAAGTGTGCGAAAGAAATATAAACCTCCCCTGATTCTGTTTGCTATAAGAAGGGAGACCCTGGAGTTACTCCTTTTTCTGACAAACAAGCAAAGAGGATTTTTGAGATCTTTTTTTTTGGTAGCTTTTGGCCTCACAACATAATTTGCTGGCATTCCCCACCATTATCTTCTTCTTTTTATTGCGATGCTTATTAATGTAATGCAGTTAAAAAGAAATACTTCCCCTGTCTCTTGTAACTTGCATTCCGATCACCAGCTGCACTGTAACAAGTATTATGTATAATGTTAAAAATATGTTGATGTATATAAGTACTGCAAACTCCTTAAACCATCTCATTTACCTACAGGTAGTCCTCGTTTAGCAACCACAATTGGGACTGGCAACTGGTCGTTAAGCGAAGCGGTTGCTGAGTGAAACCACCACTATGCTTATGATCTCGCTTCAGTTTTCCTTTGCTTTACAGACCTGCAAAGGTTGCAGATGTGAGGACTGGTTGCAAAGTTACTTTTTCATCACTGTTGTAACGTGAAGGGTCGCTAAATGAGGCAGTTGCTAAACAAGGACTACCTGCAATAGTAAGAAATTTTTCAGATGTTGTTATAGTACAGAGCAGCAATTTGCACTGTGTAACTGTAACTTACAATCTGCATCATTTTGTTGAATTGTTCATTCCTTTTCATCAATCAAACATTCTTTGAATTGGCCACCCCATACTTGCAATTTCTACAGGCCAAGAAAAACATCAGTAACTTTATGTTTTCTTTATTATATATGTGAAGAAAATAGAAATATTTTTACAAACGTATCATCTTCACACCTATTTGACAGTGGGTATCAGCCCCGACATCACCGGCTAATCGTGTTAAACTGTGTGTAATATTGGCCAGAAGGAAAATTTGTATATACTTCTTCATTAATATATGCTTGCCTGAAAAAGAAAACATAGTTAGTTGATACATATTAATGGTTAAAGTCTCTAAATGTGAGATTTCTTTTTCCAGGAATCAGCAATAAATCAATTCTAAACCTTTTTTCAGATGAGTTAAGGCAAGTTAGAGAGCCAGTTTGGTGCAGTGGTTAAGGCACTGCGATAGAAACCTCCAGACTGAGTTCTAGTCCTGCCTTAGGCACAAAGCCTGCTGGGTGACCTTGGGCCAGTCACTCTCTCCCAGCCCTAGGAAAGGGCAATGGCAACCCCCTTCTGAAAACCTCGCCAAGAAAACTGCAGGGACTTGTCCAGACAACTGCCAGGAGTCAAGGCTGACTTGGAGGCACCAAAGAAGAAGGGAAGTTCTTCTTTGCTTTACAGACCTGCAAAGGCTGCAAATGTCCTTTTGCAAGAGCTTGACACTGGTGGCGTCTGCTGGGGGTGGTCAGAAAAGGCAAGAAGGCGGACGTGGCAGCGGGCTTCCATCACTCTGTCATGACCACCATTTTCTCCCCCTCTTCCCAAGGACACCGCTGCTTGGTTCCAACAAGTGGATATTCTCAGCAGAATTTCATTTGGACTGAGCCTTTCAGATCCTAACAAGTCCAAGCCAAGCACATCACGCTCGGTCCTCAGGGGTCAGGGAAGGATTGGCTGGACAGCTGGAAAGCCACTGAGTATGAAATAATGGTGGGCAGATCATTCTGCTGCTCCACTGGTCAAGAGCTACCAAGCCTAAACCATCCAGAGCAGTGTTTCTCAACCTTGGCAGCTTGAAGATGTGTGGACTTCAACTCCCAGAATTCCCCAGCCAGCCATGCTGGCTGGG